CATTCAAAGTAGAATTTTAATACAAATTTGTTCAGAAATAAAAATTAGCAAAATAATTTTATTTAGCAATGCATTGTTTAAAAGGAAATACTCATTAACCTCAAAATTAAACATGAGCTCTTTCGTTGCCTCTTTCGAGGCTTACTTACTACAATTGAATCTATTCAATAGTGGTATTCAAAATGAAGAAATCATACAGCGTCAACGACGATCAACACGTCTTTATTTATTTCTTTTGATATTATCAATAGTCGATTTAACATTTTACTATATCACCATACCTTTTAACGAGACAACCATTATTAAATCTCCCTCGTTTGTAGAATATTCTACGTTAGTACATCAATCATCATTGCAATGTCCCTGTTCACATGTATCAGTTCAATATGACAAATTTATTCAAATCGAACCATTTTATCATGAACTTTGTCAAAGTGATTTCATATCTGATGAGTGGATCAATTATTTATCTTTGCTCTACGAACAAAGTTGGAACAATTCGATCTTATCTGATTGGCGTCGAATAGCTCAATTTCAGTTTCAAACGCTTCGTTCATTCTGTGAATTAGCACAAGAGGCGATTGAAAATGAGCTTGAATCATTTAAACATAGAGAATTTATTCAATCACAATTAATTTTAGAAGAATTGTTTCATACACAAATAAGTTCTTTTATTACAGAATTTATTGATTCTTTATCCAAGACATTCATGAGAACATTGCAGTTCGTACAAAATATAACAGCACACAGCTTATTGATGAGTGGTGCCTCTATGACCAATGTTATACCAAACAATCAATTGTATATGGGATTTGAGGAAGCGGTTCTTCCATTTTCAGAAAATACCTACACATTTTTCGATGGTTTTACTTGCACATGTTCAAGTTCAACTGCAACCATCTGTATGGGTACTGCAACATTACAGAATAACATTGTTCCAGGATTTCAAACAGGTTGTTATATGATGAATGCACTTTTTAAATCTTCTCTTGACATATTATACAATCAATCATTCATCGACATGATCACTGATTCGTCTAAAACATTCCAAAAACTCAATTCATCCATTCCTAGTAAAACAGTTGAAAACTTGCTCAGTCAAATGTTTGTTGATTATTGGTCAAATACTACATTGTATGGAGGATATTTTAATGAATGTGCACCGGATATATGTCAGTATTCAGTAAATAGACGGCATGGATTCATTGAGATTGTAGCATTAATAATTGGCCTCTTTGGTGGACTATCAGCAGCATTGAGATTCATTGTACCTTTTATTATTGAGACAATAGCGCCAAATATTCGTAGATTTATTGCTCTGAAATCCACACGTACTACTCAACTTGTGACCGACGAAACAACTACAGGTAAAAATGAATAGTAACTATACTGTGTCAATTTAAACTTCATAATAATTTCTTCCAGAATTTTCTGCTAGTGATCGTATAAAAAAATTGATTCAACTCATAATACGAACAATAGTTGAATTAAATTTATTCGAAAGTATTCCATCGTCACAAAATGAGAATATTATTCGAAAACAACGTCATTCAACTCGAGTTTATATTATTTTACTATTTACAAGTTCATCGATCCTTATATTTTTTACTTCAATCAGAATGCAAACAATTAGTGTTAGTATCGAAATGCCAACATTACCAAAATTTATCTAGTTATATAATCAATATCCATCAACACTCAATTGTCCATGCAGTCAAGTTGCAATACAGTATGATCAAATTATTCTCTCTTTGCAACCTGAATATCATCAAATATGTTCCAGTGAATTTGTCTCATCTAAATGGATCAATCTTAAATTTTTAAATATTTCAAATACGCGTACATATACACATGATATTCGTTGTCAATCTCAGATTCATTTTCAACTATTATCCACTCTTTGCTATGCTGCTATTCAGACAGTTGAAGATAATCTTCAATCATTCTATAAAACAAAATTTGTTTCTCATCAACTTCTCACTTATGAATCATTTCGAATTCAAGTCGATTTAATAGCAGAACAATTCAAAAGAAGAATACCTGAATCATTTCAATATGCATTGGAACTAACAAAAGCAAATTTTGAACTCAATAGATTTATTGTACCAATGAATGCAGTTTTTACTTTTACGTTTCAAGCTGATGTAAGTCTTCTCACCAATATTGCTAACTTTTACTCTGAGCGTCCCGATTGTTTGCCAGTTTGGTCCTCTGCATGCGTATGTAAAGCATTGTCCATCAAAGAATGTTATAGGTCGACAAGAATAATTGGCGATGGAATCAATTATATTATTCCAGGCATGTTTGCTACATGGTCCCCTATTCAATCTGTCTTAATGTCTACATTGGAATGTTTATATAATAGTTCATGTCTATCTCAAATTAAAGCATTTATAGATGAAACTGTATCACCAACCGACTTCACTACGCTTAAGTTGTCATCCGAATCTTATGCTAACAATTCATATGATAAAATCGAAGAATTGGCGAATAAACTCTTTATTCAATCATGGACTAATAAAAGTTCATATGAATCCTATTTTAATGAATGTCAGCCATTAACATGTCAATATAGTTATCAAAGTCGATTAACTTTACTATACATTATAACAACAGTTATTGGGTTTATTGGTGGTCTGGTCATTGCAACACGTCTACTAGCACCAGTTATTGTTATGTTAGCGCATAGAGTTTGGAATTCTATTCTTCATCGACAACGAAATGATGTCATTCCAACTGTACAAACAACATCGTTAGAATCAGGTAAAATATCACAAATAATAAGATTATATAAAGTGAACTTGAGAAAATATATTCATTTCATATAATAGAGCTTAGTCTATAACATCCCATATCAACTCACACGTATTAATGCTATCTACTTAGGACATACAAAGAGTAGTGACGATGATTCTGTAATTCCTTATAAGAAGCTTTAAACAACTTTCTCTCGATGTAGTTTTATAGAGAAAAGAATGTTCTTTTTTTCTATGCTATTTAATTATAATTCAACTGACATCATAATAATTAAATTTCGATAACATCTATTTTGCCATCATATGTGCTGGTCATATTAATACTCATTTAAAAAGTATGAGTGAATTTCTTTTGAATAACTTTTGATAGAAATAAGATAAAGAGCTGGCAATTTTCACCATTGGAATGGGAAGTTGAAGATGCATCGAATCATATAATCTAAGGTTTGCTTATTTGTTTTTTGTAGGGTTTTCAGTTGATCTTTTCAAGAATAAACCTATCGAATAAGTTACCTACAGTGAATTTTCAATTATTTCGAACAAATTCAAACCACTAACTGAAGATCTACCCTAGAGAAAGTACTGAGTTCAGAGTACCTATGTACTGCGAAAGCCTCAGCAAGGTATCCGACATAGGTACTTCGAAAATTCTCAGTCATTTTACTGTTGTGGGTACTGCATTGGGTACTCATTGTAGTATGTTGAATGAACAAGTATTTGTATGGATACTCGTATCTGGAATTTTACTGAGAAAAGCTCTACAGGGTATCCAACATTTGTCGCGTTTTGTGTATCAACTGTTTATTCACCGTTTTCTTTTGTATACACACATTATATAAACAGCTCGACAAAACATACGAAATTAAGATTTTTCATAGTAGTTTTTTCTAGATTATTTCTTGATCATTTACTAGTCGAGAAAATGTTGATCTCGATCGTAAAATGAGAGAGGATTGCCGTGAAGTAGTCTCATGGAGATCCGACCAACTCAAATCCGGTCACATGCCGCAACGTGTCCTACATGAGTTTTCAGAATTGGAAATATTAAATTAAATTAAATCTGAAAAATATCGTCAATTTCTCTGAGAGAAACAACAATGAAAAAAGTCCAAGGTTAAGTTCAATCATCAACATACCGCAATTTTGGCAACACAGTACCTAAAAATACTGTACAACAGTACCCAGTTGAATATCGGATCAGTGCCTTTCAGTACCCATTTACTAGATGCTTTTCAACAGGGTACCCTTAGCTCAGTACATTGATTGGGGTATAAACTGCAGAATGCCAAAATGAATAGTATGTATTCTAGTCAAGCTTCTAATACGATTTTCTAGCAAAATCTATGAAAAAACTCACTTTTATGTTTTTTTTTCTTGTGTCATAAAAATAATATTTTCTCGACAGTTAGAAAATTGAATTGAAATACTTTAGAAATCAATATTAGATAAATATATAACACATGATTCGATGTATCTTTATCTTATCTTTTCAACGGTAAAAACCGCACTTTACAATCTTGTTTCTATCAAAAGTTATTCAAAAGATATCAAATAACATTCATGGAATCGTGACACATGCGAACAAAACAGATGTTATTGAAATTTTATTATTATAATGTTGCTTGAACTATAATCAAATAGAATAGAAAAATACAGCATTCTTTTCTCTATGAGACCACATAGAGAGAAAGTTGCTTAAAGCTTTTTATAATGAATTATAGAACCTCTGTCACTGCTTTCGGATTGTCCTAAGTATCAACGATGAATGTATTAATAAAGAGTATCTTAATGTAGTCTATTCTCCAAATGCCTCGTCCATGACTATATCATTTACGTACCATGCTTTTTGTTTCATTGTATGAACATTATTTGAAATTGTTTATCAGAGCAAATGGAAAGTCAGCATAGAGAGTGTACTGAGACATCAAATAATACTGAATATTTTTCCACTTTTCTCTATAGATTGATAGTTAGAGTTCTCATTTGGATTACATTTAATAGATGATGATATTTAAAAAAAAAATTCTATTTCTAGCCTATATGTTTTAGAGTCTTTAAAGCAACATAAAAATATCTGTCATCTAAGTGTATAATTTCCTTGTAGTGTTGTATTTCTATCTTTTGATTTTCTATTGAACCTTACGTTGATTGAGGTTTATTACGCAGAAATAATTTAAATATAGGATATGATGAAAAAATCATTGACGATCATTAAACAATATCGAACTTATGTAACAGTCATTTCAGAATACACAAGAGACATTTATATGTTTTTCAATAAATTCCTATAACTAGACTGATAAATGAACTTTTTCTTCATTCGTTAAGATTAGGTTAATATTATGTAAGATCTGTGGCAGATGATAATAACAAAAAACTTCCATGTAGTGGACGAAATTTTTATGTTTACTTCATCTTGGTGTATTGATATCAAACGAATAGCAAAAATCTATATTTTTAAAACTCTATATACGGTTAGATCGAATATTATATTCGACTAACTTTTGTTTTCTCGCCACTATTGAAAGAATAGTTTAAAATTGAGGAATTTTTGTTACTATTTTTTTAGGATTTTGGAATAGATTCCGATCTTTCTTTCGATTTCTGATACGAACAGTGATCAAACTGAATCTTTTTCCTTCGGTACCACCATCACAAGATTCAGAGATTATTCGCAGAAATCAATACACTACTCGTGCTTATTTAATTTCCCTTATTACCACTTTGTTCATTATTTTACTTTATACATCACTAAAAGGAAACACGGTCACAGTCACTGTTGATTCTCCATCAGTGTCGAAATATATACAGTTATACGCTCAATATTCAACTACACTCAAATGTCCATGTAGTCAAATTGCAACTAAACGCGATAAATTTATTCTTCAAATCGAACCACAATATCATGAGATTTGTTCAAGTGTTTTTGTTTCATTTAAGTGGCTCAACAATTTAGAATTTCCATATTATATCGTGAGTTTTGGGTATGACAATGATTTTCGTGGTACAATACAAATGCAATTTCTAACCATATCCAGGTTCTGCAGTCTATCTCAAAAAATAATAAATACATCATTATCAACATTTCGTCAAACAGACTTCGTTACTGCACGTGTTATTTCACAAACTGAATTTATCGCTCAAACAAAAGTATTATTTGAACAATTCAAAAGAACAACATCACGACAATTGATGCAAATATTCAAATTAGTTTTAGCAACAAATCATGGTAATCAACTAGCAACCGTCTTTCCATCGAACTGGGATTTCATTATGAAATATCCCCAAAGTGCGCTGATGGATTTCTCTCAACTACCTGCATTATCTATTCCAAAAACTTACGGTACAGACAGCTGTTCTTGTGCAAGATATGTCAACTGTTCAAAAATTCCTGATTTTGACTTAGAAATAGCGGATCGATCAGTGAAACTATCTCTTTTGGGATTTCGTATTGGTTGTTACCCTTTAAATGCCCTTCTTCAATCAAATTTGTTGTGTCTTTATGATCAAACATGTTTAGGTATAATGCGGGCAGGAATCTATTATTCTAAACTTATTCCAACTGAAATACTTACATATTCTTCGTTGATGGAACCAAATACAACAATCGAAACAATACTCAGTAAACTTTTTGTTTCTCAATGGTTTTATAACTTCTCATTTGAACGATACTTCACCGAATGTGCTCCGCAATTCTGTCAATATTCCCATTTGTTGAAATTCAATCAAGTCTATATAATAACAACATTAATTGCTCTATTTGGTGGTTTAACGAAAGGATTACATTTTGGAATGTCTTATATAGCAATATTAATATTTAAATTATTTGATTATTTAAAACAGAAAAATAAACACAATAGTGTCGTGGTGCCGTATTCAGAAGAAACAAATGTTGCTGTGATTGATAATACACACAACAGATCCAAATCTGTATCAATATCAACAACGAAAACAATTCAAGTTATTAAACTTTATTTTTATATATTTTAGTATTTTTTGTGAATTTTTTAGCTTCCTCTGGATCCAATCGATGAGCGAACTAGGCCGTAAGTTATATATTGAATCGAAAATCTATTATTATTAAATTTTATATATTCGTTTTAGTTGGATAACACGAATAGACGTCGTATATTTAATCGTTCTAATTCTATTGATAATAGCTGCAATTGTGGTAACTTGTATCGTTTGGATTAAAGGTAATGAAAATGAAAATTATAAAATTATGTTATCGGATTCATCGACTTCTCTTATAACAAGTACCACAGCAACCGAACCGATGACCACACTGACAAGTATATCTAAATTGTGGTGAAGAATGAACTGTAAAAGTTTTTTTTCTTTTTAGATACGTGTTATATGACCTTAAAATATCAAACTCAAACTTATCCTACTGGCTCTGATCCGAAGTCATTTATTATTAATGATTTGAATAGAGATTCGATTCTTGATTTAGCTGTGACTAGTTATGTTGATAACACATTCAGCATATTGTTAGGAAATGGAAATGGGACATTCCAAACACCACTACTTTATTCGACAGGAGATGAAACGAGACCATGGGGAATAGCAAGTCTTTATATCAATAATGACACACTGTTAGATCTAGGTAAACATATGTTATTTTAATGCAACACTTTTAATAATAAATAACTCATTTAAAATAAACCGGTAATATTAAATTCGGCGTTTGAACTCCGTTAAGTTATCTAGGTTGAGGTTTCATTCGTATTATTAATATAATTGAAAGACGTAACATTATATTGAGTGTTAGACTTTGCGAAATTAGAAAGTCGTTAGAAATTAAATCTTTTTACTCTTTTTAGCTATTGCATTAACTGGACCGTTTCAATTAGCTTTCTTCTACGGAGTTGCAACAAATATTTTATTTACTCGTTCTCCTAACACGGTATCTATTGGATTTATTTATAATGATCTAGCGGGTGAGATAGAAACCAGCGATTTAAATGATGATGGACGTACTGATTTGATTGTTCTCAACCGTAGAACATCTACGACTGATATATTGGCAGCTATACCACTGTGGATATTTTTTAATCTCGATCGTTATCCTCCATTTAGATGGCCCACGGATATTTATGTGCCAGAGTATAATTCAATAGTCGTTGGTGATTTTGATAATAACGGCAAACAGAACGACATTGCTGTCTGTAGCAATGGCCCTATGATGTTTACTTATCTAAATCTAACTTACACAAGTGATGCTCCATTTTGGTCTCAAATCCATTTTATGAATGGAGAAACAAGTTCATTGATCAAAGGAATGTTCAATGACGATGAATTCGAAGATTTGGCAGTTATTTCTCCGGCAACTGATACACTGAAAATTCTTCTTGCTCACGGAAATGGAACATTTATTCAACAAAACTATGCTACTACTACTCATCCAACAAGTGTCACTCGAATCAATTTTAATAATGATGA